AACAATAGACAACAACCCAACATAAATCAACGTTGGCCATAGGTCTACAACATCAACAACAATTCAACATCAACTCAACATAAATAAACTTTGGCCACAAGCCTACAACATAATATCTGCCAAGAATTAGAGGCATTTCAACAACATCGGTATATCCTGCAGCTTCGCATCATCAACAATATTGACATTACAACAACATAGTAAAATTCACAAATGTAATCGAAACCCATTGCAATAATACTACATAATTATTTAGCTATACGTCTATATTCAACTATTAGACGTTTTGCGACGGTTCCTCTAATATCAACCTGCTGCAACTATTATATAAGCTAGTACTGCTATCAACAATTTCTACTACTGCTAGTGCTACTAATTAATTCTCTACTATTGTTTTATTGCTAATAGCTTTCTATTACTATTTCATAATTAACCCTTACTGTCAACTTATTCCTACTTTATGTACTATGCTATTATATTGTTAATAGTTTTTCGATAAGGTTTCTGCAACTACATCTTACTACTATGAATTATCTCCTACTACCATGAATTATCTCTGCTATTTTTTTACTGTTAATAGCCTACAACTTGGTTTTAGGCAATCAATATAGGCAACACAACAAAGTTCATCACTACCTGCAACTTCACAATTAATAACAACATCATCACAACAACTTAATAATTGTCCCTGCTAAGCATTTTGACTTTGTCATCTATTAATCCTACCTGATACATATGTCAATCTACACTTTGTTTACTTCGGTAACTAACAAATAGTCTCTGCAATTATTTATTTTTTCTAACTCTGCTACATAACAATTCTGTAACTAATTTAATAAAGTAACAGACATAAGAAACAGACCAAACAAACAAAAGAAAGTAGAGCTTTATGGGTGTGCCCCTCGTCCCCCAACTTTTCCCCTCGGCACAAACTAAAAATAACCATGCCGCTCGCCATGGAGTTGTGTCAGTCGGCACACTCCTCTCCATACCATGTCGGTCAGCATGCTCGTATGCCCCTCGGCACAGAGTGTTTCTATCGCCTCTTCTTCGCAGACTTACTGATTCCAACACAGACTTCTCCAAATCTTTCTTCAATTAACTGTATTTTCACAACAACATGATACAACACAATATTACATCGACATAACAACATAACAATTATATCAGCAATATCATAATTTCCACCAACAGATATTTGATTCTGCAACCAATTCAGGAGTATCTACAACATGATAACAACAAGATAACATACAATTCCAAGAACAACAATAACAACATACGCACAAAAATATTATACCAACCCAATTCCTACATAATATGCATCATAATTCCCATTATAGAGTCAGAACCCCACCCTTACCTTGGATTGGAGACCGCTCTATAATTCTTCGATCGAACCTAGCTTGGCCTCTCTTCCCTTTGCTCTGCAACTTCTACGTTCTATTTCTCTCTTCCAACCCTTATTCCTCTTCTACTTGACAAAACTTATTTTCTCATATCAGCTTAACCTAATTTCAGTAATCACATTCGAGCCTACTTACACACCCCCACCTTACTTCATACCACCATATGACTAAGCCCAACAACTTAATCTTATATTATTTCATTAGTTTCAACATTATTATTATTATTATTATTCAACTAATAAATTAATTAATAATAATCTAACAACTTATACCAACAATTCTCAACATCTCACAACTTCAACAAATAATTGGAAAATAATTTAATTAAATAATTAATTAAACTATCGGGCGTTACATAGATTACTAAACCTTCTTCACTATCGTATGAGCCCCAAGGAGAACGAGATCTTGAGGGAGCTGATTGAAGGTTTGTTGAAGAAGAGATTTATTCGTGAGAACATAAGTCCATGTGAAATACTAGTCCTTTTGGTCCCTAAGAAAGAAAATTAGTGGTGAATGTGTGTTGATGCCCGAGCCATCAATAATATAACTATCAATATCAATTCCAAATTCTCTATTTGGAAGACATGCTTGACGAGTTGGTTGGTTCTAAGGTGTTCTCGGAGATAGATTTGCATAGTGGATATCATCATATCAGAATCACACCTGGAGATGAATTAAAAATAGCTTTCAAGAGAAAATATGGATTGTATTAGTGGTTGGTAATGCCCTTTTATTTTTCAAACGCCCCTAGCACCTTCACGAGGTTGATGAATTAGGTTTTGCGCCCGCTTACTAGTTCTTTAGGAGTGGTTTATTTTGATGATATTATGATTTACACTAAGACCAAGACAGAGCATCTACAACATGTGAGGCAAGTGTTGCAAGTCTTACAAAAGAACTAATTATACATTAAACTAAAAAAAATGCACATTTAGCACCAACAAGTTACTTTTCCTAGGCTTTGTTGTTGGTGAAGAAGGGATACAGGTTGATGATGATAAGGTGAATGCTATAAGGGAGTGGCTTACATCCAAATCGGTGATGGAGGTTCATAGTTTTCATGGTTTGGACACCTTCTATAGGAGATTTATCAAAGATTTTAGTACCATCATTACACTTATTACTGAATGTTTGAAGAAATGAAAGTTCATTTGAGGGTTTGACAAGAGCACAATTTTGCACTGATTAAGGATAAGTTATGCACCGCACCGGTATTAGCACTTCCTGATTTTGACAAAGTGTTCTAAGTTGAATTTGATGCTAGGGAGTGGGAATAGGAGTTGTGTTATCTCAGGAGAATAATCCAATAGCCTTTTTGAGCGAAAATTTCAGTGATGCTCGCCAGAAATGGAGTACTTATAATCAGGAGTTATATGCAATCTTTAGAGCTCTACGCCAGTGGAAACATTATTTGGTTCAGAAGAAATTCATTCTATTCACGGGCTATTCAACTTTGAATTTTCTTCATAGCCATAAGGTGATAAACAAGATGCATGCTCAGTGGGTGAGTTTTCTGCATAAATTTTCTTTCATTATTCTGAATAATTTGGGGGCTCTTAACAAGGTAGAGGATACATTGAGTAAGAGGGCTTCCTTTCTAATTACCTCAGTGCAGGAGATAGTAGGCTTTGAGTTCCTGAAAGAGTTGTATGAAAATGATGTTGAGTTTAAGCAGTTATGGGCCAAGTCTAGTGGAAAACAACCTTTTACAAATTTTCACATTCGAGATGGCTATCTTTTTAAAAGGAGACGAATATGCATTCCTTGCTCCTATTTAAGAGAGAAGTTTATTTGATATCTGCATGGTGGTGGTCTTAGCAGTCATCTGGGTAGAGATAATACCATTGCTAGCTTAAAAGAGAGGTATTATTGGCCACACTTGAGGAGGGACGTTGGTGCTATAGTCAGGAGGTGTTATACTTGTTAGGTTTCTAAAGGTCATTCTTAAAATACTAGTCTTTATATGCCTTTACCTATTCCTGGTGATATTTGACAAGATTTAGCCATATATTTTGTGTTGGGCTTACCTTGGACACAACGAGGTGTAGATTCTATGTTTGTGGTACTAGATAAATTCTCCAAGATGACATACTTCATTTCCTGTAAGAAGATTGTTGATGTTTCCAATATAGCCAAACTGTTTTTCAGGGAGGTTGTGCGTCTTCATGGGGTTCCTACATCCATTACTTCAGACAGGGACACCAAATTTCTCAATCATTTACGTGTTACTCTTTAGAGATTGTTTGGAGCTGCACTGAACAAGATTTCTACAGCTCATCTTCAAACAGATGGGCAAACTGAGGTAACCAACAGAAATTTTGGAAACATGATTCGGAGTGTTTGTGGGGACGAACCGAAATAGTGGGATTTAATTTTGCCTCAAGTTGAATTTGCTTATAACAGCATTGTGCAATTAGCTATGGGAAAATCACCATCCTCTTTGGTCTATTCTTATGTTCATAAGCATGTGATTGATTTGGTTAAGTTTCCTAAGGCGTCTTTATTGTGCGGCTACTAAGAATATGGTCGAGGAAATGGTAGTTATTAAAGAAGTTGACAAGGCTAAGTTAGAGGCTACTGGGCAGAAGAATAAAGAAACTGCTGACAAACGCGGAAGAGTCAAAATTTTCAATGTAGGATATGGTGTAATGGTATTTCTGTGCAAAGAGAGATTTCAGTTGGTACTTACAGCAAGTTGCAGCCATGCAAATATGGTTTGTTCAAAGTGACCCGAAAGACCAATGATAATGCTTATGGGGTAACCCTCTCCGAGTTCATGAATATATCTAATACTTTCAATGTTGCTCACATTCATGAATATCATACAGACGAGGTTTTTTATCAAGAAGCAAACTCGGGGTCGAGTTCTTCAGAGGTGGATGAGACTGATGTAGGAAGGTTGACCGCGCATAACGAAGAAGAAGTCGCACATCGAAAAGGTTTCGCATAAATTGTACAAGTTTGACGTCTGATGTCATAATAACTATTATTATACCTTTTCGGTCCAAGTTCAACATTTTACTATTTTTTCGCATTTTGCTTTATTTATTTTATTCAATTTTGGATTAAAGGCCCATTAGAGTTTTTTTTTTTCTGTATTTAAAAACCTTTGGCATGGCCATAAAGATTATCTTTCATTATAATAAAATTTAAAAATTTCTTCTTTTTAGTGAATTCCAACTTTTCTGACAGATTTTGTGTTTGCTGTCTTGTGTTTTTATTCTGACAACTTTTCTGATTTCGTCACATTGCTATATAAATCTACATACTTAAAAACATAAATTTGTAATAGACATAGATCGTTGTGAAACTCTTTGAGAATAATTCTTTTAATAGTATATTTTTCGTGGCAAAACTTTTGAAAGGGTCCTTTTGAAAATTTGAAATCATAAAAAATGAATTTTTAGAAATTTAGAAGGCCTTTCAGATTATTCAAAGGAGAATTAAAAAAATTTCAAGAACATATGCATCCATTTAGTAAATTAATCCTGAAGGATTAAAGGAAACAACAAGGCCAATCCAAGATTCTGGCAATGGGTTGGCAGAGGGGGGCAGTTTTCAGCACTATCAACCAATCCAAGATATATATCATATATCTTGGAGGCATGCATCTGCGGTGGATCGGTTCGACGCAATGGAAGTCTTTGAACTCGACGGCCGCTGTAAATGGTTGTTGATGAAGTCTCCGGCCAACATGAGCTTTTCAAGATCAATGTTGGTTTTCACACCAATTCCATTCAGCATGTACACAACATCTTCAGTAGCAACATTTCCTGTTGCTCCTTTAGCATATGGACACCCTCCAAGACCAGCAACAGATGAATCGATGATACTAATTCCCATCTATATAGTAAAATTTCTGACATACAAGAACAAGATTCGGAAGCAAGTAAAAAGGAAAAGCTATAAGTTGATGACTTACTTGGAGGGAAACAAGAATATTTGAAAGGGATTGGCCATAAGTGTCATGAAAGTGGACAGCAATCTTGTCTATTGGAACAACTGCTATTACGGCCGCGAGCATGGGGACAACAGTTCCTGAACACGACAGAATCAACATCAAATAATATATCATAATTGTAAAACCAACGAGTTCTAAGAACAATTCATCTAATCCTTTACCTGGTGTGCCAACTCCAGTTGTGTCACCAAGAGAAATCTCAAAGCAGCCCATGTCGTATAATTCTTTCGCAACATATGCGACTTTCGAGGGAGGTGTTGGTCCGTCCACCGGGCATTCAACGACACATGATATATACCTATCACATATGAAATTAGATAAACTAATTGGAATGTTGAGAATATTTTGAAAAGGTGAAAGGCGTACCCTCGCACAGGAATAGAGAGTTCTTTAGCAGCACGAGTAACAGCCCGATAACGAGCGAGACTCTCTTCAACACTACAGTTAATGTTTGATTTTGAGAATGATTCAGAAGCTGATGCGAAAACAGCTACTTCTTTTGCACCAGCTGCAATAGCAGCTTCAAAACCCTGCAAAAGTAACCAACCAATCAACATTCTGAGTAAAAACCTTTCGTTTTATGGTTAGTACCTTTAAATTAGGCGTCAGAACCGGCAATCTGACGCCTCTCAAGCGATGAACTCCTTGCATTACTTCCTTAGCATCAGCCAACTGGAAGACAGAAAAATAAAAGCCATAAAATCGGACAGAAAGGATTCTCAAAAAACATCAATACACAATACATAATGAATAGACATTGTACCTGTGGAACCCATTTGGGCGACACGAAACTCGTTGCCTCGATAACAGATAGTCCAGAAGAAGCTAATCTATGAATCAACTCAATCTTTACAGATGTAGGTACGCTGTTCTTTTCATTTTGTAATCCATCTCTTGGACCAACTTCCACGATCTTTACAAACCTCGGTATACATTCCAGAAACTATGTTGTCCATTATCGAATTATTAAACTTCGGTAACAATGCTAACTACTATAAGCCAAAGAAATATGATAATGTAAGCCAACTATAGAAAATTTGAAATCTATTGTAGCCGTTGAATTACCTTATATGTCGAATTTGGAATGTCTTTGTTTTTGAACATGGGACTATACTGGTATTCAGAGAATGAATCATCAATCTTTCCAAATTTCTTCAATTTCCTCGTTTTGGTGCTAGCCTTTTGGTTTAAGGATTCATCTCGGGAGAAGTCTCTTGTTTGTCGTTTCCATGGGAATGTCTCCGCTGTATACTCATCATCATCATCACTGCAATGTAGTGAAACACGAGATCTTAAGTAGGATTGGTCGACATGTAAATGATCGTAAAACTCCGATCGTAAGCACGGCACATAAGATGCTACCGAAGGGAAACATGGTAATATACATATACATGCACAAAAACATGAAAATTATAATACAAGTCCAAAAATAGGCCCATCACTTTTTTTTACGATCTTGCTTCAAAAAGCTCGATCTTGACCACACTGGCGTCGAAAATGATATTTCTCTTATAGTAACACTCTCAGGCATCCTTAGCATATAAGATCTTACGATCCAACACTCGATCTTGACTACACTGGTCTTACCGATAAAGCTAATCGAGATGACAAATCAAAGAATATACTATAATAGTGATTAGAATTAAATGTATTTAAGGGCCTAACTCGAGCCAAAATGTTTCACGACTCACTTGCAACTGTTAGATGTGCTGCAATTCCTTCCCTCAAGCCAGAAGTCTCCCATGCTGCCAATCTCATCTACTCTCGGACGACAAGTACCAGATGAGAATCTCTGAATCCTATCGATGGTACTCATGCTTGGCAACTTGTCGACACCGAGCGGTTCCTCCAAGCTTGACATGGTGAAGTGAAATGGTCAGACAGAACTGCTAAACAAGAAGTACAAGTAAGTACAGCACATTACCAATAACATATTTCAAATTTTCAAGCCTCAACTCATTGTTGCTTCAAAGGGTAGAAAATCACTTTCAAGTTCAGCTTTCAATTCATTTTCATGCTATAAGAGTGGCTATTACTAAAGCATGTGTGAAGTGGTTTTCATTACCAAATTTCAACCTACTCAAACAATGATGAAAAAGGTATTGACTTATAATATAATCAAAGGCAAATTTATATCCTACTCTTCAATTTTCTTATAATCTTATAATCTCATAAAATGCACAGACTCTTGATACACGCATTCACGCATTCGATGTATAAGTGATCATTCTATCAGTATCAAACAGTTTATTTTAAATTATAATTCAAAAATTAAAAACATATTTTTTGAATCATCAAACGCATGAAAAAAAGAAAGAAAAAAGAAATGGAATAAAAAACAGACCTGCAAAAAAGAGAGTTGAAGAGATGGAAGGGAATGGAGAAACTCTTGAAATTGAGGGAAATAGAAATAGGTCAAAGCTCAAAAGGAATAAGAATGGAAGAAGGTAGATGAGGAAGAAAGTAGGAATGAAAACGTGCAACTTCATTAAACTAATCACTTTTTTTTCAACTTTCAACTACCAATTTAGTTGGTAGTTGATTCTATTTCTCTGCCAATTATAGTATATTAATGATGAATTTGACCACTTTTTTCAACTACGATTATAGAATTTTTTTTCTAATGTTAATAAATTTGGATCTTTACACATGATTTAGGAAATCTTTCATCTTTTCTGGCTTTTTTTTTATAATTATTACCAAAAATAAAAAATAGCGTGCATTTGAATTTATAATTATTTTTAAATATTAAATATATTTTTAATTTATACAAAATTCAGTTTACATAAAATAAAAATGGTGTCACTAAGGATGATGAGAATATGAAAATGTGAAATTTTTAAAAAATAATAAGGTATTGAAAAAAAATATACAAATAACTATGTTTTAAGAAAAATTATATAAATAATCATGTTTCAGAAAACACTTAAATAGATGAGCTAATTCAGATGGTGCATCCTCTTTATTTTTATATAGAGACGCCAAGTGAGATGGCGCATAAGTGTAACGTGTTTGTCTTAAGCCATCTCAGATGGCGCCTAAGTGCTTTTAACTCCTTTTTTTTCTGTTTTAAATAAGAGACAATAACTAAACGATATAGCTTAATGAAAGTTCGATAACAAATAAACGATTACATAATGAAAAAACGGTTGCATATTATTTAGTTATCCTCCAGAACTCGATAACGACCCAGTTTCGCACTTGCGTCCTCTCCTAACCCGTGGTGGGTTTCGTCGATTTTCTTGTTGCAGTTGGGTCGATGGCCCAGCGAAGTCAATGCGTTCAAGATCCATGAAATCCATCCGATCACTATATCTGAAAGATCCGCTTTGATACAGTCGGTTACACATGTCCTCAAAGTTTGGTCGTCTTGGTGGGGGTGGAGTTCCATGGATGGTCGATAGCACTGGTCGTCTGAGTAAGGGGGTAAAAAGGAAAAAAATCTTGGGGTGTTTGGTATTGCGATTGTTGGGTGCTATGGTGATGTGGTGGTTGATGGTAAGTTGGGTTAGTTGGGTTATACTCTTCAGGAAAGCCTAGATTTGGGCTAAGGTGAGATGATGAGGGGCCCACATCGGATTGTTCAGAATATTGGAATTGTGTGTGGGGCATGTGGGTGGGGTTAGGTGTGGGGCATATGTGTGTATTGGTATTGAGGTGATATTTTGTGGTTGGGTGTTTGTGGATCTGTATCGTGGTTGTGTTTGGTGGAAGGTTGATGTGCGTTGGGTTTGTTGCTGGGGATTTAAGGGTTGTGACCGTTGTGTTTGTGGATCAAATACCTCGGGTGAGACACATGTATTTCTGGGTTAGTAACCGATATGTACCAATCAAAATAATAATTTGTGTGTCGCATATTATCCTGGTTGAGGAAAACAGTGAATTGTAAGACATGTTGGTGACACCTATGCCACATCTTACACCATTCTGGAGCAAAATCTTTCCAATTAGTAAGACTTCATTGAGCGTCGACCCTTTTGAGATATCAGGGTGACAAACAAGTTGGATCGCATGGTATCTCTTGATGCATTCTGAATTGCATCTTGACACGGTTGTTGTGGTGCATCTCTACAACGTTGAACCGTATGATTGAAGTTTTTAGAGTCCAAACTGTTTCATCCTCGTGGTTGGATTCATGGTCCAAATCCAAATATGGTCTCCAGATAAACCGTGGATAAAAATTAATAAGAATAATGAAAACGTAAAAAATAAATAATTTAAAAATAGAAAAGTTCAAAAGTACCACGTATATCATACAAGTCAAGTCAAGGTGGTTCAATAAATTATGATATAGAGCGACATTGAATCTTGGATTCTTGTTGTAATCTATACCTATTACACAGCACCTAAAGGAATGAAAAAATAGTTCATTTTATACATTTATTTGGCGAAAGAATGAATAATAAATTATTTAAGTTGTTGACTTACTTTATTGCATTTGAGAAAATGAATGCATTGTTGTTGACGGGGTTTAGGGACTTCATTCTCCATCAACTCCATGTTTGGAGTAAGAAAGTGCATCTATAAAAAGTACATTTGTCGTTTGTTGTGTTTTTACACAAAGAACTGTATAGATAGGCTAAAACAGCATAACCCTAACTATACTTTCTTGTTTTTTCAAATTCTTAAACAAACTTAAATACATAAAATTTACACTATTCTCTGTACTTTCGAAAAATAACAAGCTTTCAAATAGTATCATAATATAATTTCTAACTTTAATTATTGTTGCTAGCTCGGACAAATTTTTATTTAACTCAAGAGTCACACAATGTTTTTTAAGTTCGGTTAGTAATATACATTGGCCCCTAGAACCAATATCTTCTACTATATCTTTGCCCAACAATTCCTCGCATAGAGAATTGGGTTCTTGAACTGACTCGTTGAGTGTCTTACCATCGATAGGGAGACTCAATAACATGTACACATCCTCTAGTGTGACAGTCCATTCATCTATTGGTAGATGAAATGTGTGTATCTCGGGTCTTTATCTTTCCAACATTGCAAGTATAAACTTGGAATCAATCGTGCAGTTTTAGATTTTTATAACATTTCTAAAACCGGCATATTCTAGATAAGGAACAATCAACGGGTCGAAAGTAATGTAGTTGTGTGAGTGAATTCTAAATTTTTTAGTATCTTAAATTCAAAATGTAAATAGTGTAAGAGTCTATAAGATGACTAATTTAATAATAATTTTATAAAAAATATATGGTAAAATACCATTTTTTATCCTTTAAGTTTACTTTTGCATGTGTGGCATCATACGTCCATTATCAAATTCCACGTATTCTTTTATTTTCTTTTTTATTTATTTTTATCTTAAATTTCTAAAAGAATTTCTAAAATTTTGTCACACCCCAAGTTAGAGAGGTTGTTGGGCATGTTTTTTTACCACTAGTCCACTCTACGTTTATTAATAAAGTTCACACATTAAATATAATTGAATTCTTAATAATTTATAAAAGATGAATAAGAAAAACATCAAACTACATGCATTATACTTTCAATCTTAGTCTTAGGAACCTGAAACAGGCACGATATTTAACTAGTATAACAAGTAAAGAAGTAGAAGAGAAAATTTAAATAAACAAGACAAACCTCAGTCCACATTTCCCTGACATTTTCAAGAACCATGTTGCAGTGCCTATCGAATGCCCTAACGCGACCTAGAAGCTTTTTGTTGTTGGACAATTAATTTATCAGTACCTGCAGAAGTTTTCAAGTAAAACCACAAATCAAATACGTTCTGAACTCAAACACAATCAATGTGATATACAAAGAACAAGAAATTACACGGAGACCTGAACTGAAGAGGCTTGGCTTTCAAATCTTGTGTTTTGGTATGCTTTTTATTTGCTATTTGCAGCTGATTTAAAATTTTAGTTTAGTACCATGTTTTCTTGTTCCAATTTATCATGATGATTGATTGTTTGTTCTTGCTGTTGTCAGTTTCAACTTTACTAGAAGAATCTGACCCATACTCTTTTCCAGAATGAGGTAGTTAAATCTAATAAAATTACCATCTTATTTAGTTTGCATTTGTCTAACAAGTTTGTTTTTTTTTCTTTTTTAACTTCTCATTCGTCCAATGGAAGAAGAAGTAAGTTATTCATCTTTCATTGATGTTTTTGATTAATATTTTATGCAATATTTGAGAAAGAATGAGGATGGTTGTTTAATATTCTTTAACTGATTAATTGATACAGTCAGTGGGGAAGAATGAGGAAGAAAAATTCAATACTGGACCACTTTCTGGACTCATGATGAGTGTTAAAAATAATACACAGATATGTTTAATTTCTTGTTCTTTGTATATCACATTGATTGTATTTGAGTTCAGAGCGTATTTGATTTTCTCTTCTACTTCTTTACTTGTTATACTAGCTAAATATCGTGCTTGTTTCAGGTTCCTGAACCTAAGACTGGAAGTATAATGCATGTCTACTGTTTGATGTTTTTCTTGTTCACTTTTTATAAGTTATTAAGAATGTGTGAATTTTATCATTAAATGTAGAGTGGACTAGTGGTAAAAGAGCATGTCCAACAACCCCTCTAACTTGGGTTTGAATTCTAGGTGTGACAAAATTTTAGAAATTCTTTTAGAAATTTAACATAAAAATAAATAAAAAAGTGTGACAAAATTTTAGAAATTATTTTAGAAATTTAAGAAATTCTTTTGGTAATGGACACGTATGATGCCACGCATGCAAAAGTAAATGGCGTTTATGAAAATTGAACGGAAATGACTAACGTGGACCTTTTTGAACAATTAAAGGACCACTTTGAAACTTTTTAAAAATAAGAGACCAGAATGGACTCCGAGGTAAACTTAAGGGACCAAAAAGGGTATTTTGTCAA